TTTTCGTTTACGATTGCATCGGTTTCCGACCACGGATAGCGACTGGATAAGCTTACACCAGTCATAGGTTTAAAGATTCAGAATTTGTTGATTGTCCCTCGTGATGAGGACTCCGCCCGGCGTCTTGGCTGTCTTCTCCAAATCAATACCTCTGTGTCGACCTCTTCGGTTGTGCCTGTAGTCAAGCGTCGGTCCGTCGGTTGGTCGGTCAGTCGTCGGGCCGACATTTGATTGATGATCAAGCGGAAGTGACAGTATCACTTTACTATGCGATGATGAATGTCTTTGTCAAGCATTTTTGACTAGATATTGATAAACAGCTTTACTCGGTGGCTTTAAGTTAAAGCACGGGGTGTGGTGAAGACCGACTTCCCGTAAAGCAGCCGCACCCGAACCCCAGAGCATGGGCTACCGGTACGATTTAATGGCGATCGCTGAAGCACAGCGCCAGACCACACGGCATTAATGCGAGACACTGACGTCCTTGTCAGACATTCGCAAGGAGGGTCGCAGATTTCAACAAGTTCACATTCCATTCATGTTGGGTGATGGCTTTAATTCCGCCGCTTCGAACTTCGGAATCATTAAGTTCTTAATCACTGGTCTAGCAATACAGTATGTTCATGAAGTGGAAAAATTAGGTTTCAAAACAATGCATAGTGTTTTTGAGGTATCTTGCAAGGCGTTTTCCAGACCAAGTTTTTCCAAGCGATCTAGGTAAGGAAAATAAATATTTTAAACGTTTAAGGAATTAAATTATTTTCTACGTATTGACTTAAAGAGTGGTTGAATTCCATATGCAGGTAGAAAGTCTTCATCCCCAAATTCTGCGCATATAAACCTTAAATATTGTTAAATAATTTAAAAACTGAATTAAAGAGTGGTCTACCACGCTGAGGGTGAAAAACGGTGCAGAAATATATACGCAGATGGCAAATTACCTGTGAATAACTTGGTGCAGTCCCTCCCGTCCCCAAAAAATACTGACTAAAGCGGTATAGGATCTGAAAAGTTTAGTTGCTTTAAAATTTATGGACTCAGTGTGTCACGAGTCAAATATAACTATATATGAGTTTGAATTGTCTATTTGTTCACTGATCCTTATGCGTAATTAGCGGCTAACTCATAGCGAGTCGCGACGAC